GCTGTGCAAACGCCAACCCGCCCTCCCGCCGAGCCTGCACCCCACGGGGCTCACACCTCGCTGCTCAAAGGGTTTCCAGACACAAACACGAGCTGACAGAGCATGAATGTCTTTGCAAAAAAAAAAATCTTTTCTATTTTTATACTTTTAGCAAGATAAAAACGTGTTGTAGGTGTGAAAAGAAGAGGTGCCAGCTCCAGCCATGTGGCAAAGCACATGGGCAGGCTTGAAGCATCAGTTGGGAAAGTGATTGTGGGGATGGAGGAGAGTTACAGGGTGATGGTGGCTGGAGGAGAGTTACAGGGTGATGGTGGGGTCTCTCTGTTGCCACTCACATTTTCCTCCCCACTTCATGCAGCTCTCTGCAGCATTAGCTTCGCCCCAAAGTGTCAGAGGGCTTGAGGCAAGTTAGAAGAGCTGCCCTGAGCTTGCTCACTGAGCTATGGACTCACATCTCTGGGGCAGGATAAGCTGGCAGCTGGAAAGGGTCTGGATGCTGTCTTTCCCTTTCTGTAGCAATGGGGAAGATGGATGGAGATCAATCCACTTGGCTGTGTTGGATCCTCATTACCTGCTTAGCCCATCAGAGAAAGCACGTGGGTGCAGACCAGTGTGTTTTGTAGCTGATGCACTGTTTTCTGGGAGGCAGTGTTGTTCCCACCAGCTGCCTGTTGGCTGCCTGGCTGTAGGTTGCACTTTCTGGGCTGCACTTTCTGGGCACAAGCTGGAGCTGCAGAAGGCTCAGACTGCTGCACTGGTGCACTGAGCAGTGCTGGGCACAGAGGCTTAAGGGAAATGGAGGAGTAAGAGAACAGCAAATCGGAAGCGTCGCGGAGCCTGTCTGCACATCCTGAAGGTAGGGGAAACCTCCAGACAGCAAAACAGGATGGCACGGGAGTGTTTCCACTTGCTTGACTCATGCTGAAACAATGCCCGGCCACTGTTTGTCTTGGACAAACACATTTCTCCAAGCAACAGGATCTCCTGGCCCTCCTGCAAGGCCAGTGCTGGGATTTAACTGTTACACAGCCTGGGACTGACCTGTCCTTCGGGGTCACTCAGGGTGTGTTGGAGTGGCCTGTGGAGAGCAGTAGCTCCTGCCGAAGCTGCACATGGATTGCCCTGCAGTGTCTGGCAGGGGGTCTTGGGTGCAGAGGGGAAGATGGCAGAAGCCCACATCAGGGGTGGGAGGTGGTCTGAGGCCATCAGTGTCAGGTTTGCTTCTCTCCAGCCATGGCAGGGGAAAAAGGCACTCTGTGGGTCAGGCATGTTGTCCTTCCTGCAGCTTTTGGATCTGATATGTGACATGGGTATGGTCAACACCTCTGTGGATGGGGTTGCAGGCAGAGCTTTGTCCCACGAGGCTGCCCCCATGGTGGGGGTGGTTGAGGACACTGGTACTGTGCACTAGGCTCCTAGGCAGTTATGGGCTTTCCATGGCAGTGCTGGATGCCTCCTTCTGGATGTTAACCTGCAGGCAGAGCCTCTTGCCAGGCTGACATATGCTCATGTGTCTGCCTTCACAGGATTCACGCTGCAGCCAAGATTGGGAGCTCTGGCTTCAGCAAGAGTGATTTTGGTAGAAAGATTAGAATCTGCATCTGAAGTTTGCATGGTCCAAAAGGCCTTCTATGCAAGGAAGTGCTGCGGAGTCAGAACCTTAATTAAAAGTCCTGTTGTCCCCTGCAGCATTTCAGCTGCTCAGGCGTGCTGGCAGTGTCCTGCTCACCAGGCTGTAGAGGGTGAGTGATGATGCTTTGCGTAAATATTTATGTTGCACTGAACCTTCCATGCCAGATCCTGGCCAAACTGAGAAGCCCAGGCCCTCTTGTGCTCAGCCCTGCTAAGAAACGTGCAGGCAACCATTCCAGATGCAGCCTGCAAGCCAGTGACCAGGCAGGCAGGCAGGTCACTGTCCTCAGGGGGTGTGTGAAGTACATGTGTGGCCTGTGGAGCAGCTTAGCTGTGCTCCCAGCTGTGGTCAGGCTGTGCCTGAGGCACAGCAGGGTCTCTGTCAGGCATGGGGATGGCATCCTTAAACAGGTATTGCTGCAGTCCAGACCTCCCTGGGGCCTCCTTGCCAGCCTGGCTTGGTTCAGCTTGTCCCCAGACACAGGAGCTCAGCACTGCCAGGTGCCAAAGGGAGAAAAGCCTCCCCATTTCAAAGCAGCCCCATGGCTGTGAGGAACAGAGTGGGGATATACTCCCCAAAATGTCCTGAAAATTCTTTGTTTACTGAAGGCAGAACTTAAACCCTATTCTTACCGAGCTCCTGGCTGTATATCTCTCTGGTCACACTGGTTGCATGTGAGAGGAAGCAGAACAGCAGTACTGGTTGCACAGCTGCTCTTCGGCAGCCTTGGGCTGACCCTGGGGCAGTGTGCCACCCCGTGCTCCCATCCCCACAGCCATCCCAGCCTCTTTGCTTGCTGTGCAGTGCTGGTGCTGTTAGAGGCCCTGTCAGATGGTGGTGGGCTCTGGGTGCCCACCAGTGCCAGCATCACCTGGGGTCCTCAGCACTGCCCCCGTGTTGCTCCTCTTGGAGGTCTCCTTAGAGAGGAACAGTCTGCTGGCAACAGGGAGGACCTAACCCACAGGTCCTCAGATGGGTGATTTTCCCACCTTGTTCCAGCTGGGAGGAAGGTACCTACCTCTCTGCTTCACAGGTCCAAGGATGCAGATAGGTGGGGCTGGAAGGGTGGCTGCTGCCACCATTCCTGCCACGGGGCGAGATGTTCACTGCTGTCCTCTGTGACAAGAAGCTAATTAAAGCTTGAGGCAGCTTGGGAATCCACAGTGCTGGAAATGATAAAAGTATGTCCAGCAGGAAAGGATATCTACATCAAAGGAACAGCCACAGACTACAAAGGATTGACACTTGGGTCCTTGTATGGCTGCAAGGCCATTTGCCTTTGCCTCTGCCTAAAACCTAGGAGAGTTTGAACAGGACATTATTTTGTGGAAAGGAAAGGCTTTGTTTCTGCTTGTGATTGTGCAGGAGCTGATGTAGGTGTG